GAGTGTGGAGGGGTAGAGGCGACGCAAATCGGGTAGCGGTGTTAATTACAAAGTGACGACGTATTTTTCGAAACGTTGGTGGTGGTGGTGGCGAAGGCTGAGAGGTGACGCATAACGAGACGAGGGCGGACGATGCTGCTGTCAGCGACGTGAATGTGGAGGGTTAGAGGCGACACAAATCGGGTAGCGGTGTCAATAATAAAGTGAGAACGTTATTTTTCGAAACGACGTAAACAAGGGGGAGACGTTAGTCGGGTGTTCCCTGTATCACGCTGGCGCGAGATCCGCCGGTGTGTCCATGCGAAAACATTTACATCCGCTCGTCATTTTCGTTTTGTCCCCCCTCCACTTCATGAACTTTGCTGTTAAGTTTTCGTTAAAATAAAAAAAAGTTATCGTAAGCGGTCAAGCGCGCTGGTAAACCTGGGAGCATCATTCAATTTGCGTAATTCACTGCCTCGGTGGCTCGGCCTGTGATGTCGCTGAGGCGGTCCGCCTGATAGTCACTTGAAAGTCGTCGGTATTTTTTCGTTACACATTTGACACGTGGGGCAACGGCCCGTGACGAAGGGTGGATGGAGTGGTGGACAGAGGGGTGGATGAAGGGTGGACGGAGGGGTGGACGGAGGGGTGGATGAAGGGTGGACGGAGGGTGTGCCTGGGGAGGGGGGGGGGCATTGAGGGGTCGTTCGAGTCAAACGCGAGTCCGTGAATCAGACGTCAATCACGCGGGAGGATGCCGCCAGGCCCCGTGCTCGTCGAGTCAGCAGCAGCGGCAGCAGCCACGACATCTCACCGCTTATTGCATCGCGACGAGAGCAGGGTGCTACCCTCCACGCAGACACACACAGCGACACAAATACAAAGATCCCCCGTATAGCCTTAACAGACTGTAGGGGCAAGTGCTGTTAGCGAGCACCTATGAAGGCCGGAACGGTACACGAGGGGGTGAGTGGCCAGCACCACGCCCGACCGCCTTTGTCTCCCCAGTGGCGATGTTTACACACCGCACCAGGTACTCATTTGAGACTGAGTCGACCGAGGGGAGGCCCAGGACCGGTTCAGATAATCGTGTTGTATACTAACCCTTCTTCCAAAATTGAGATTAATAATATTTGATGATATTTTTATATATTATCTTTTTACTTGTTTTTTTTAATGAAGGAAACACACCAAAGCGCAGCAAACTGCAAAACACCAGGTGTTGTTAAGTAATGAACTGGAGGAGGGCTAGGATGGCAGAATTTGCAACCTTGCTTCAAGGAAAGATAAGGCCTGATGAACGGGCACATGTCACCCGTGCAGGCGGCAGAGACAGTGGGAGTGTCAGCCAGACATAGTTAAGGCAAAAACCCAACCATCCTGCATGGTTTTAAAGTAACGTCAAAATTCGAAATTCAACAACAGAGTAGGCTAAATTATCGATCCTCGCGCTCGCTCAAATTGGAGACCAGGCTGCGAGCTACATCAATGAACCATTGCCCATTTGCTAATCCAATACTGAATGTTAATATTACTGAAGTCAAAACGAATTCTATGACCTCAGCACATGGGCAAATAATAGGGCAGTGTCGACTCAAAGGCAATGGAAGAAAGCAGAGAGGCCTTTGTCTAAATCACAACCACAGAAAGCCAGGAATCATCACTGATTGTGTGTTTAGGGATTCCGAGCTAGTTGGAACACGTGCACACAGGGGGGAGGTAGAAGTACGCCTTGTCCTCCTGCAGCTGAGGGAC